ACAAACTCAGCATGAAGTTGAATTATCACAGTGAATTATCAAGACTCAATTATTATTGAAGTGGCTATGCAACTGCAAGAGCCCAACCTGTCGACAATTTCTCAAATTGTGGGTTGTAATAGCAAAACACAAGGTTGTAGAGGCTATTTGTCGTGAAGTGCAGGTCTGACAATCTTTTTGGATAGATTTGTCAACTGACTGATGCCCTTGGGATGGAATGCCTTTGGCTGGTTAACTTGATGACCAACCACTGCCCCGGCTAAGTCCATCCTATGAGGCCAAGAGTGGGGGGCATTGAGGTCTGTTACTTGGTAGCTGGTGCAGAAATTTGCCCTTTGGCTATCTCCAGTCGGTATGTGTTTCGCATCCTTTTTCAGCACATCAACTATTTTTTATTTTTATTTCTATTTTGTTTTTTATTTTTAGTTTTTGAGAATTTCCACTGAAGTTTTATAAATAGCTAGATGTTGCTTAATAATTCATAGCTTCCGTTATGATGTTGCTGACTACTTATTATCAATTAAAAAACACATTTCCCTCTTGTTTGTGATGAAAGATGTAAAGGAGCTATACAATCTTGATTGTGAATATTCATTAAATTTGAGGCAAATGTGATCTATGACGCTGATTTCTGTACCTTCAGTTTCACAGTCCTTTATTGATGGATGTTGAGCTGATACCCAGCTGTTCAACCAAGTACTTGAGAATAATTCTACTTGTAAATATTTCAATGTTGTGTGCTAGTGATAACAAAGAAAAGAAAATGACTGTTGGCACATAAATTTCAACTAAATTTATGACACGCATAGAGCCTATGATAGGAATGTTGTAGGTAATCACTTCCTAAAAAGGATTAATATGATCCGTTGAAGTATATAAATAAAACAACGTCATATCTCAACGACATTATTCAAAATGCTCAAGTGACACGTGGAGCTTACGAAAGACGACACCTGTAGAGCCTACAACAAGGACACGACACATGATGAAACCCCAAAGATCAATCCGGTTAATCAGATATACGATTAATCATATAGTGCTATCATTCAAAATTCAAATGGCGCTATCATTCAATTTGAAATTCAATTGAGGATGAGACATTCTTATCACCTGGATGACCCTCTATAAATATGAGGACCATTACACAAGATCAGGGATCAGAAAAATCAAAAAGTGAGAATATCAGAGAGAGAGAGAAAGAAATCAAGAGTTAGAAGAAAAGAAGCCTAGAGAACTCAAGAAACAACGCTACAAACGCA